CTGCGAGGCCTGGTGCGGGGCACTGAGAGCACTGTACTCCTTGTGAGCCCTGCGACCGGAGGGCGCCGAGGGGCTGGCGCGCCGGACCGGTTATTTAGGGAAGTGCATCGCGACACCTTTGCAGATGGCATGGCCGTGTTTTGCAACGCAAACGGGAGGAGGGAGGACGGCCGGGTGGAGGGGGAGAGCAAAGGAAGGGGTAAACCAGATTGGGATGGGAATAAAGCAAACTCCTGAGCAGGGAGCGAGAAGGAAGGAGTGCGTGTCATCGTTAAGAGGAGGCTCCTACTCGGTCTCCCCGCCTCCCGCCCTCGCCACCCCCCTATTCCCTCCCCACTGCAGCCCTTCCCCTTCCCGGGCGAATGACACCGCCGCTGCCCGATGGTGCGCGGGTCCTGTTTGTGACAGTCAGGCAGAGAAGATTATCCGGATCATGGCCTCCCTGGCCCGCAGCCGCCGTGGCTCTCCCGGGTCCCGGCGCGCCCCTAGCACCCGCACGATCGCAGGCGCCCCACGCCCGCAGCTCCCGCGGCGCTAGCAAGGGGAAGACGCGAAGCAAAAGAACACAGACCCAGGGAGAGGAAGGGCAGGGTAACGGAGCCTGGCGAGCACCTCCGTGCCCGACCTCCTTGGGGGCATCCTCCCTCCCCTCCAGCAGTGCGGCCCGGGCCGGACATCCCGAACTTCAACACCCGAGCCTGCGCTGCCGCCAGGTACCGGGGCAGGGACGTCCGCAGCGCCCGGGGCGCAGCCCCCTGTCAGCCCCTTTGCCTAAAGGCCTGCCTACCAATCAGCGTCCCCATCCACGCCGGAGGAAACGCGGAAAGTGGAGGTGACACCTCCGATCAGGCACGCACCGGCCCCGCGGCAGTGGCCGCCGCCTCCTCTGCGCGTCAGCTTGGGCTTCTCCCGCTGCGATCCGCTCACGTCTCCGCAGCCGGAGCCCTTTAAACAAGTCCCTGGGAAGCGGGTGGCAGCAGTGTTCGCTGGCGCCCCGCCGCCAGCCTGGGCTCCTCGCCCTCCTTTCCCGTTCCCCTTCCAACTCTTCCGGGGAGGGTACCTCGGGATGAACAGAAGCGTTTCCATCCTCCTCCCCTGTACCCCAGGCCTTCCCCCTCCAGCTGCCACCCCCCTCCCCCCGCCTCGCTTTTAAGGGGATGGGGGGTATTGCAACCTGGCCGAATGTGTGTGTTGCAACCTTGAGTTGGCAGCGCATCTGACTGCCTACTCAGGATCAAGGCTGTGGTTTGTTGGGATTTTTTTCCTCCTTTGCCCCCTTGAAGTAGTAATTATTACTGTTATTATTAGAACAGCAAGGTTCGGTTGAAACTTTCTCGTTTCTTCCACGGCCGCCTGGGAGCTGTCGTTACAGCATTCCACCTGAGGCCCGCGGGGAGGAGGCGGGCTTTTTTTGTTGTGGCGGTTGGCCCGCCTGTTTGTTTTGGTCTCCTTGCATGCACAATAAATAATAATTAGGATAATAATGAATAATCCCGGGCGAAGGCGGCGCGGTGCTGGAGGGGTTTGCGCGGCGGCTGCAGCGGGGCGGCCGAAGGGAGGGGAAAGAGGAGAAAAGAGTTGTAAGTTATATTTACCTTGCTCGCGAGGAGTGTGCTGGCTGAATCTCTTCCCTCTCTGAGTCACCCAGAGTACAGAAACAGAGGGAGAGAAGACTAGATTATGAATATGACTTCATTGATGACAGCCGTCCCCTCCTCTTCCTAAACTCGGGCTCCGCCCAGCGTCCCACCCTCGCCTCCTCCGCGGGCGCCGGAAGACGCGCCGCAGTTGG